TAAGTCATCACGATTGGATTTCTTCTCCATTCAAACGCACACACACACGGAATCGCATTTCATACGCACTCTGTAGTATATACTTCCGGTCCTTAAACAACAGGGGGGACACTGGCGTGTGAAAATACATACCAATCACGCAATGGTTTCGGCCAGAAAATGTAGCCTTGGCAACACACATAATCCTTCTGTCTGATTTGTGCCATCGCGATGAGTATAAGAAGTGGCGGACGTCGTCTAATGATGAGCCATTAATTTGTACGTACCCGACACTGACGGCTCTATACGCCCCCTTTTCTTATAGTGCCAAGGCCTACTTCTGCCGGGCAACCGACCTTATTTGCTGTTCTCACTGTTTTGCCATCGGTTTCTTGCCCCATGGCTCGCCTTAGCGCATATCCAAGACAAGTTAGGTCTACACAACCGCTTTTTGTGGGTCAACTCGATGAGTCTTGCTCGTTTTCATTTAGCTTATCGATCTAAATTAGATTTAAATTAGATCACTTTGAACTCTGGTCGGGCGATATGTCGATCGATAAGTGAGCAACTGTCAATGCAGTTTGTGAAATTTATCGCCGTAGTGATTTATCGATTTTATGTTGGATGGAGGATTTGATGGTTCAATGTGATTAGGCGTCGCCTTGGCCCATATTTCCCTTCGAACCGATCGATAGCAAACGCTCACAATTTTCGGTGAATTTTTCTCAATGTAGTAAATCCTTTCCAAGATTGGACAGAAATAGATCTGCGTTCTAAGCCCGTTCTGAGCTTCGCGTCGTTCGCCTACTCAGCCAAAAGTCGCCGACTCTCCCGGTTTGGCTAGAAAGCGAGAGCGATGCGCGAATTGCAGCGGGCAGTGAGAATCGGTGTTACTGCGCGCTCGCTTGGGCGCGACAGAGGGAGATAGCGAGAGTGGACACACGCTGAATTATTCACTGAGTACGAACGTGTCTCAGCCTCTGGCATTTGGTCATGTGGACGGACGCCAACCCACTCCCCTCTCTCTTTCTCTGCTTTCCTTCGGCGGTGCCGTAATAAGCAGTGCATGTTATAATGTTGCCCCGAGCGTTCATATTGACAACATTTCGTCATGCCGTAAGGCTGGTGATTATGCACGCCCCTGTACTCCCGGTTCGTGC